AAAAAAAAGGACAAGCCAAGAATTAGTATAATGGTGAAAAACCAGAGAGGAAGTCTATCTTTACAAGTTTGTCCTATTCTCTGTATCCTCATCAAAGTATTCCTCTCTTCATGTGACAAATTTTGAAACTTTGAAATTTCCTACTGTTGGGCTTTCTGCTACCTTTTTACCTCGTGCAAGCACGAGCTTCTTCCTCCATGGGAGAATCACCTTTCCCCCCCTTTTTTTTTTTTATAAATTAGTTTATATGCTCCACAATATATTCTTTTTAAGTAAGTTTTAATTCTGGGCTCCTCATTTTTGTCCCAGTGAAGCTTGTGGATTTGTTTTTGTTCTATAATTACGCGGGAATTGATGCTTCCCCTTCAAAAGGTGTTGTGTGGCAGTTTTCTTTTGAGTTTACTATGGCCCTCGTCATGATTCTTGGTTTGTGGGTTCTGAGCTTTTAACATCACAATTCCCTTGTAAGCCTTCCAAATATTTGTATGTGTTTTTCTCACCAGCAATGAAATTGTGTGTAATGGTCTTGGTGGTGCTTTCGTATTTTCTTCCATTCGGTGGGGTGTTTTCAGCAAATGATTCAATGGGTTCTGATGTTGTGAACATTGGAGCCATTTTTGCATTCAGCACTATTAACGGGAGGGTTGCGAAAATCGCAATGAATGCTGCCGTTGAAGATGTCAACTCTGATCCTAAATTTCTTGGTGGGAGAAAATTAAACCTCTCCTCATATGATTCGAATTACAGTGGCTTTCTTAGCATTATTGGAGGTATATGTATGTATGTGTGTGTGTGTGTGTGTGTTCTTGTTCATGCTTATTTTCTTCCCAAACCTGTTAGTAGTAATTGAAAAAAATACCTTCAAAACAAAACACAGGATTGAGGTTCATGGAGACCGACACAGTGGCAATCATCGGGCCCCAGGTCTCAGGCACGGCCCACATCCTCTCCCACCTAGCAAACGAGCTACACGTGCCAATGCTTTCGTTCACGGCCCTTGACCCCACCCTCTCCTCCCTTCAGTTCCCCTACTTCATCCAGACGGCCCCCAATGATCTCCAGCAGATGACGGCCATAGCCGACCTTGTGAGCTTCTTGGGCTTCAAGGAAGTCGTGGTCATCTACACAGACGATGACCAGAGCCGGGGCACCATATCTGCCTTGAGCGACGAGCTAGCCGGGAGGCGCTGCAAAATCTCCCACAAGGCCGTTCTCTCGCCCGAGACCCTGGCCAGTAGTTCCGAGATCATGGCCGAGCTTGTGAAAGTCTCGATGGTCGAGTCTCGTGTGATCGTGGTCCACGCGTATGCTGTTGTTGGGCTCCGGGTCTTGGGCTTGGCCCACGAGCTGCGGATGATGTCACGGGGCTATGTATGGATCGCGACAGCCTGGCTCTCGACCGTGATCGAGTCGGACCCCACTTTTGGACAGAAGGATGCGGGATTCATGCAGGGGGTTATTGCTTTGCGGCCCCACACGCCGGATTCCAAGCGTAAAAGGTCGTTTGTGTCTAAATGGGGAAAATTGAGCAACGGGTCGATTGGGCTGACCGCGTATGGCTTTTACGCGTACGATACGGTTTGGACGATTGCGAATGCGGTTAAGTTGTTTCTCGAGCATGGTGGGAATATCTCGTTCACGAACAGACCGAATTTGTACGGGTTGGGGAGGGGAAAGTTGAATCTTGCTGCCTTGAGCAGGTTTGATGGGGGGAGTCGGGTTCTTGAATACATACTGAGGACGAACAGGACGGGCTTGACGGGCCGGGTCGCGTTCAATGAAGATAAATCTGTGGTCCAGCCCGCTTTTGATATTCTGAATGTGGTTGGGAAGGGTTACAGACAGGTTGGATACTGGTCGAACTATTCGGGCCTCTCGGTTATGCCTCCAGAGTTTTTTTATGACAAGAAGGCTAACCGGTCGAGCTCTAGCCAAGTTCTTGGAGAAATTGTATGGCCTGGTCAAACGAAGGTTAAACCGAGGGGGTGGGTTTTCCCGCACAATGGGAGGAAGTTGAGGATTGGGGTTCCGAACAGATTCAGTTTCAAGGCTTTCGTGTCGAGAGATGAGAGCACGAACGAGATTCGTGGGTATTGCATTGATATATTCCAAGCGGCCGTAAAATTGCTGCCTTATGCTGTTCCTCACACGTTCGTCTTGTTTGGGGACAAACTCATGAACCCTAGTTACGGGAAGCTCGTGAGCATGATCACATCTAATGTGAGTGAATGAGTGATTGAGTACACATAGATTTTTTTTTCCCCTCTTTTTTCTTTGGGATGAAAGTGGTTCTCTCTCTGTGTGTGTGTGTGTGTGTAGGTCTTTGATGCAGTAGTTGGCGATGTTGCGATTGTGACCGAGCGGACAAGGATTGTGGATTTTACACAGCCTTATATAGAGTCAGGCCTGGTTGTTGTTACGCCTACGAGGAAGTTGGACTCGAGCGCGTGGGCATTTATGCGGCCGTTCACCCCTTTGATGTGGGCCGTCACGGGCCTGCTCTTCCTAGTTGTTGGGGTGGTGATTTGGATCTTGGAACACAGGATAAACGATGAGTTCCGTGGGCCGCCTAAGAAACAGTTGATCACAATTTTATGGTGAGTCCAAGTCTTATTATGATGGCTCTCTTCATTTTTTATAGGGAGTGTTTTGGCAACACTATAAAGAAAAGGTGATTGTTAGTTTTTATATGGAAGTAGTCTCTTCTAAATTTGTATCATTTTGATTTTAAACCTCTCTCTCTCTCTCTCTCTCTCTCTCTCTCTCTAAAGCACTTCTACAACTTATTCAAGCACTTCTACAACTTATTCATGAATCAATGATTCAATTTACAGCTTATGTCTGCAGATATGCTTGGATGTGCATGGTATTTTAAGAGGAATGAGAATGAGTTAAAAATAATAGTAGTAGGTAACCTTTAGTATCTCAATACCAAAACCTTACAATCAAAACTCTCAAACAAACATATTTTGTATCATACATCCTCCCCAAATTTGTCTACCAAGCAAGCACCTTGGATTACAGTGATATAGTCAAAGGCTTTTCCGAACGATTCCCAAAATCTGATTCGGGCTTATGAAAAATAAGACCGGGCCCACCAAAAAGCCCGGTCTTGCTAAAAAGAAGACAATGTTTTGATAGTGTTAATTTCATGTGTTATTTGTATACTTTTAACTCTACTACTTCTCCTTGCAGGTTTGGCTTCTCAACTATGTTCTTTGCACACAGTAAGCATCCATCATTCAAGCCACTGGCTCACCCACATTATATAATCCATTTCCACTTCCACTTTCCTTTTTTTTTTTTTTTTTTAACAGAAACTAATATTTACAAATAAATAATAATATATACAGGAGAAAACACGATGAGCACGCTCGGGCGCATGGTCCTAATTCTCTGGCTCTTTGTGGTCCTAATAGTCACGTCCAGCTACACAGCCAGCTTAACCTCGATCCTCACTGTCCAGCAGCTGGCTCCGTCCATCCAGGGGATTGAGTCCTTGATCACGAGCAATGACCGCATAGGGTTCCAAGTTGGCTCATTTGCCGAGAACTATTTGGCAGACGAGCTCAACATTGCCCGGTCGAGGCTGGTCGCGCTCGGCTCCCCTGAAGCCTATGCTGATGCCCTCAACAGTGGGAGAGTTGCTGCTGTCGTTGATGAGCGTCCATATGTGGATTTATTTCTTTCCAATTATTGCACGTTTCAGGTCGTTGGGCGCGAATTCACCAAGAGCGGTTGGGGATTTGTGAGTCTCTCTCTCTCTCTCTCTCTCTCTCTCTCTCTCTCTCTCTCCCTCTCTCTCCCTCTCTCTCTCTCTCTCTCTCTCTCTCTCTCTTTGATGTAAAGATGCACTTAAATAGAAAGGGAAATGGCAATCACAGAGCCCATCAGCTAGCAATGAATATTAACTGTGCAACTACATGACTGTAAAATATTATTGCACCATATTGCTAAAGCAGCTTGCATGTGACCGATGTGTTCTGGAGTAATGACAGGTTCTCTATCTGGTATGCATTGTTGATTTTTATGAATTATATATCCATCAAAATGCATTATCTCCAAATATTCTTACGGCATTGGCTGATATGCAAAAATAAAAGCAAAAACACGAAACAAAATGCAAGTTTCTTCGAAAAAAGTTACGAGGATAATAGTGATCTGCAAATACTCTCTAGATCTGCAAGTAATTATTTTTTGAATTACTCCCTCGATAATGTGAAGTTTGTAAATACAAAAGCGCGTTTGTTGAGATTAGAGGGTATAAAAAACTGAAATAGTAATCGGTTCTCATTTCATTCTTCTTTTCTTAATTCGTGAATATAATTATTTTCTCAACAGGCATTCCCGAGAGACTCCCCGCTCGCCACAGACATGTCGACTGCCATTCTAACCCTATCTGAAAACGGGGAGCTCCAAAAGATACGCAAGAAGTGGCTCAGCTCACAAGCCTGCACCCAACAAGGCTCGGGCTCGGACGAGTACTCGGACCAGCTTCAGCTCAAGAGCTTCTGGGGCCTCTTCCTAATATGCGGGATTGCCTGCTTTTTGGCTCTGTTGGTCTATTTCGGCACGATGGTACGCGAATTCAAGCGGTACTTTCCTCATATATCCGAACCCTCCAAGCCAAGCAACTCGAAATCCATGCAGATCAAGAGATTCTTGTCGTTTGTGGACGAGAAGGAGGAGGAGTTGAAGAACAAGCTCAAGAGGAAACGAATGCAAGTGGTGTCAAGGAGTGGCGCCGAGGATCATGGGTCCTTAAACGGGAGCCAAAGGACTATTTATTAAGGCGGAGCCAAGGGATGGGAATGAAAATCTCTAGAGATATATGTGGAGCTTCTGTTAAGAATGTATATGTTATACTGATATATAGTCGTCTGCAATTTTTGTGTTGCACAATTGTTGTGCCTCTGGTCCAAAGATATATGGTAAATATGCATCTCAGACTTCTTAATCTTGAGTGATCTCTTGGGTTTTGGTATAATCCCTAATTTATCAATATGACATTCATCATTTCTTTTAAAGTTCAATTCTTGCATTAAACATCACCATTCGACTGTGGAGAACGTTGTTTGGTGAATTATTCTATATTCAGATTATTTTTTATTTTTTATTTTTTATTTATTTTTATTATTACTATTTTTTTTTTTTTGAAAATGAGCTATGTACTCCCTACCTATGTTACTTACGGTTATTTTCATCCTTTTTTATCGAGTTGATTTTCAACTTTGGTCTTAAAATTTGTAAACACGTCTACAATCTCGTTTTGTTTCTTAACAAATATAAGTAGTAAAATCTTGTGCAATCATTTAAAAAAGCTTGTTCTCATTTGCACGATTTCAAATCACATATATAAGTGTGGATTAAATCTAAATCTTCATTTCAACTAAATAAAAAAGTAATTTAGTCAGTTTGACTTCGACACAAATTTAACATTTTTTACGTGACTCGACTTTAGCACTGGAAGTTGATTCTAAATTTGTTAATTATTTAATTGTATTTAGATTTACATGTCCTAATCTAATACTCCCTCCATTCCAAAATAAATGTCATTCTAGAATTTGCACACATAAGAAACACTTAAATATGGTATTTAAATTACTAGAATATCATCAACCAACCCTATTAAAATAATGATCACCATTAATATTATTTCTTTTGAGGGTATATTAGGAAATTTTTGTCCAAAAATGTATTGGAATCTAAAAACGATACTTATTTTAGAATTTTTTCATTTTGCTAAAACGACACTTATTTTAGAATGGAGGTAGTATGCCACAAATCAAAGCACACACTGATATAAACAAAAATATGTTTTTCATTATTATTTGAAATGGTTGTACGGCTCATAACCATTATTTTCGTTTTGAAAAGTCACTTGTCGAGATAGTCACGGCCAAGGAGCATTCCAAACATACTATGAACAAACTTTTTAGCATAAAAAATATCCTAAATCCATGCTCGGCAATAAACAATTCAGAGACCAAATTATTACAGATGTCCGGGACATGGAGAACCTTAAACTTCAACTCATTTCCAAAATTATGCTTCACACCATAGTGACAACTCCAGCCACATCAGACGAAGATGAGTTTTTCATGTGGAGTTCCCGACTAGTAGAAAAGGTGTATTTCAAAAACAACTCCTTGTCGGAACAGACATAACGAGTAGCACTATTCGAATCCTCAACCCTTACCAACCTACTTGACCGTATTCTGCTCCCGTAGTTATCCCTTGGACAGGGATAATAGAGATTTTATACCTCCTCTACTTGATTCACATAGGAAGAGATCGAAAACTGTGCGGAACCTGGTCCCTTCCCGATCCGGATGCATTCGATGTTTCGGATGAGAGCGATCTTTCCCTACTTTCAGCGGACTTTCTTTTATCTTTTTTTCCTTTTCCGGGCCTCGACTATCAATGTACCACTCTCTTGGGTTATCCCACATATTATCGTCAAACACCACAATCGACATATCAAAGTTAGTTAGTTAGTTATCCCAACACAGTCTCATGTTTAGGGGCACTAGAGGCTTTCAGTTCTTAGGCTTACGCCTTTTTGGCCCGACCGTATTAGGCTTCTTGCAGTCCTTCGCCATATGCTTCGGTTTTTCAAAGTTGTGGTAGTTTCTGGTAAACTTTTAAACCGTGGTCAGTTGCTTCTTATTATTCACTAGAGACTTTCGCTTGCTTGAGTTGCTTTGCTCCAGCAAATTAGCACAAGCCTCCACCATTGGAACTAAAACTGCAGATTTACGGTTGTCCTCTTTAATATAGAGAAGAACGACTAGATCTTCAAGATTCATTTTGTTTCTCTTATATTTGAGCTATTCTTGATATCTTTCCAACCCAGTGGCAACTTATTGATCACATCTACACTTGTAACGACTAGCTCAATGTCGTTCCATCATCATGAATATCGTGCAAGATCAATTGAAATTCTTGACCTTAAGACACGACGATTAGTGTCGAGTTACACAGTAATCCTATAAATTGAAGTGAAATTGTTTAAGTTCTTACAACATAAACTAAAAACAGAAAATGAAATTATTATATATCTTTATGCGAGAAGAGAATAGCGAGGCGAGAGTTTCTCTTTATGCAAGACGAATACGCCACATAATTTGCTGTCGAATTCAGGCGTTTCATCTCCAAAGATACAGTAGCTACGTCATAGAAGCTCTACCACTTTAAGACCTCCAAGATCCAGTAACTTCAATGGAGTAAGAATATAGCACTATGTATATATGATACATGAGGTTATCAAAAAGTCTAATACAAATGATATATGCTATGTCCTTTTGTATCTCTAAATATGTTGTAGTTATAGGACTTCCACTATGTAGGTTCATGCAACCATTAATGGTCTGTCACAACCAACTAATGGTTAATGTAATAAGCTCAAAATTGTAAGGTGTTTACCTGCCATTTTTAGGTGTTAACACACTTTTTACTACACCTAATAACCTACGAAACGGTGAGATGAAGTCAACTTAGCCAAATACAATGTATTTGATGAGGTCCATCCAGGTTAGGTTAGGGCAAAACTCAATTACTATAAAGGGCCACAAAATTGCAAATAAATTTACAGCAAAAAGATTCTTGAGACTGAGCCCAAACCCGACATCATCCTGGACAGCCAGTCCAACCTAAAGTTCAAGTACCAAGAACCAAGTCCAAGTCCAAGTCCAAGTCTAAGGCCAAATTTCAGGCCCCTGCCCGTGTTCTTTCTTGGCCGATCGGCCGGCCAGCCGACAGACGCGCGAATGGATAAGGCTAACACCTACATTTGATTCATAGCTTCAGTTATTATTGTGACATTTATTTCCAGCTTTCTTTATTATAATAAAGTGGGCTATCCCCTATTTAATAATCCATTGTAGGATTTATATTTTGACATTTCAAATCTCACGACCAACATTTAACTAGTATTCGACCATGTGCATTTCCACATATTTGAATAAAGTTTTATATGTTATTTGTATGAATATAATTTTAAAATTTAAGTTAAATAATGATATTACATTTTAAATATAGAGTATAATAAGTTATATTTATGCATATAATATTAAAATTATAAGTTAGATAATGATATTATGTTTTAAACTTTAATCATTGGTTAAATAAATAGTACATAACGATTTGATTGCATACGAATCACTATATTGATTGCATAAAATGTAATAAATAAGGTAATTTTGTAATTTTGAGGGATCATGACCAATTAATTAACTAAAAATACTAAATTTATTATAACAATTGCTTATGCGATTTTAAAAAATTTTACTATGACATTAAAACAATTTTTTTTAAAAAAAAAAAAAAAGAATCACTTAATCAGATAAAAATATATAATAGTAATTAAATAACTTGAGCAAAAAAGTTTTAACAATATTATGTAACTTTCATATATCATTTAGTGTAAAATATGATTAGTAATTTTAATTACAACTATTATATAATTAATAAAAAATATAATTATTACTCAATTATTATAAAATGTAACGGTTTTTCTCTTAATTAATCTAAAAAAAAATGCAATGAAATATTTTTGTCATTAATGGAAAGAGTGGATCAATGCCGGAGATTGTGACAAACTTTAGGAAGATTTTCTTCCTCTGTATTGCTTCTAATTGATGCCAGTTGGCTATTCGAACATTGTATTTTGTTGAGGTATAAATATAATCCTGTCGTTTCGGAAAAAAAAAAAAAGAAAAAAAAAAAAGGATCAATGCCACATAAGTAAAACTTATTAGGTTTTATTTAAGTTGACGCAATGTAAAAGTTACTGTTTTTTTCTTTCATCCTTTGAACCTTCTTTCTACTAGAATATACGCACGACAAAAAGAAAGTAGTAAACCCAAAGGATTCAAAGCAAATTGCTTTCTGCAAGCTTTTTTGGTGTTAAAAATTCCCAATTTTATTTTTAACTTTTTTCATTTTCTCAACATTAAAGGAAACATCAAACTGTATAAAAGATAAAGAAATGCAATTTAGAATATGTGACCACATTTGATGGACCTTTTATTCCCACAAACAGCTTATGAAAAAAGTTTTTAGCATCGAACTTTAATCACCCACAAGGTGCTAAGGATGTGTTTGTTTATAAATTTTCTCAATCCATGCTGAATTCATACTCAAATATTATTCAACTTTAACTCAATTTCATTATTTTTAATATTATCAATATAATTAAATAATACAAATTATTCATTCTTATACATTATGTCAATTTTGATTAATTATTCATCCACTCACATAATTTTAACTTATCATTACTTCACATCATCTCTTTCATACTTTTACGTCAATTGTGTTCGTGTGGTGTGTCGTGTGTTTTCTTTTCTAGCGTTGCTAGCGTGATACCCGTCTGGGGGTTATCTAGGTCGCTTTATAGCGTGACCTCTCTTTTTTCATTTTCAGCTGTTGGCCCCGTTTGTATCTGACTATGTTTTTCTTTTTAGTTATAATATATTACCTTTTTCGTTTCGAAAAAAAAAATAAAAAATCCCACTAAGAATCAGTCTTTCCACATTTTTCAAAAATTAACTCTGATTAACAAAAAATTTTGTTTTGAACGGATATATTAGTATCTGCCCTAAAGTGTGCTTGAATATAAATTGGGTAAAGCTTTGATTTAAAATTTTTAGTTATCCAGAATTACTTTTTTTTTTTTAAACAAAAATGTTGGATGGGTTGAGTTTTGATTGATTTTTTGGTTAACCAGAGAATTTTGAAAAAAAATTGTTGGGTTAAGTTTAAGTGAGATTTTGAATTTGTATTAAAAT